ATATACCCCAAAGGACTGCCTTACCTACAGTGACAGGAAAACACCCATGATACAACCACAGATGTTTTTCAGAGCATCAGATTAGCAGAACATCAAGTTTAATGTGTAGATGCTTCCTATCCTGACCACCCCTAGAATTTCAGCACACCCAATATAAAATGTGTATTCAAACACAAGGTAAATTCTAAGGCTATTTCAGCACTGTTAGCAGAATTACCACTTTGTTTTAAAGTTTGTTTCAATACCAAACTCCCCAGTACAGTCAAAATTTGATTCTCTCTTTGGAAAAAATTGATTTACACACATTTTCCATAAGCATATCTATTGTGTAAAAAGCTATATAACTTTGCTAGAATCAAGCAAATAATGTTGAAGAGATGCTGATAAGGAGACTAATAGTGTGTGGCAGCTGGGCCCGGTGGCTCACGCCTGTAATCCCAGCACTTTGGGAGGCTGAGGCAGGTGGATCACGAGGTCAAGAGATTGAGACCATCCTAGTCAACATGGTGAAACCCTGTCTCTACTAAAAATACAAAAAATCTGCTGGGCATGGTGGCGCGTACCTGTAATCCCAGCTACTCAGGAGGCTGAGGCAGGAGAATTGCCTGAACCCAGGAGATGGAGGTTATGGTGAGCCGAGATCATGCCATTGCACTCCAGCCTGGGTAACAAGAGCGAAACTCCATCTCAAAAAAAAAAAAAAAAAAAAAAAAAAAGTGTGTGGCTTCCTTCAGTGGATAGTGGAGGCCTAGAACCTGTGACCTAAACATCCCTGGGTTCTGGTCTCAGTTACTTATCTGTATTCAGTTTAAATTTGGAGAAAGATTTGTTTTACAAGCATTTATTGGTTTCTCTGATAAACATATATAACTTTGTATATTCCTCCTGCTTCTAGAAGTATGGTATTCCTCTTCCCTTCTCAGTAGTTCAAGTGGGTTCTGCCATGTTCTAATAGGACTGACCTGTGAACAAGCTGGGCCAATTATAGAACCTTAGCCTGCGGACATCAGTTGGTTATTCTGGTAATGTGGGCCTTTTTAAATATATTAATACAGTCAAAGAAACTTTTCAGCATTTTTGAACTCTGGTTCCAAAAGAAATTTTCTAGCAATGTGATATGAGGCACTGGAGTTATAAGCAACCATGTGTCTCATTACAAAAGAAGCTAGTCTGTGGCAGGAGAGAATGAAGCTGACCCAGACAGAAGCATCGATAGGCAGAATTACAATTCCTGATTCCAGATGTCCCTGAGGCCCATAACAGCCATGCCCTTCCTGTATCCAGCTGAGCTCGTAAGTTCTCTCTGTGTCTAAGTTCTCTCTGGCTCTGGTTGAATATGTCAATAGGGAGCAGAAGATCCCTTTCTATCAGTGAGGTTTTGAGAGTGTATATCAATAATCCATTGAGAAGATGGTAGCAGGACAATTTAGATTTTGCAGTAAATGCTTAGCTGGCAAGAGTCACTGCTTGGTAAAGGAAGAAAATGTAGGGAGGTGTCAAAAAAGCAACAGCCTCTCCCTGTTTCGCCAAGGATTAACTGCCTTAAAGAAAAAGCCCCTCCAACACACTACGAAGTCATAGTCATTGTCAAACCCATTTTATCCTCCCACAGAAAATACTGGATGCTTTGAATTGATTTTGATTTCTTCTGTTCTTGAGACATGCTGAGGTTCATGAAAGGCACTAGTCCATGCAGACAGTTCCTGATCCCTGGGCACAAGGGATTTGAGCTTGATTATTCTTAACCCAGCATGAAACAGGAGAACTTGGCCCATTCCCCCCCAAGATCTCAGCCCTCATAAGACCCCTGGACCACAGAATGTGGGACTAAAAAAATTGGTTGAGCTTGTTCAAACAAAGTCTCAATTTCCCGACAAGCAGTTGGAACTTGGGGTTACATATTGAGGTAGACTTCAGACTATTTTAATGGCATGCAGAGACATGGCTCTCCAACCAATTGGCATTCAGGAAATGTTTATCAGTTCTGACAGCCACAAGTTCCACCCTGGCCAATTTTAGCTCCTGTGACTGGAAGTGACTTGGATGTTTGAAATTCTGTAAAACACAGGCTAGTTTTGAAATGGAGCCACAGAACTTCAACAGTATTCTGGCTTAGCTCTTAGGCAATTTAGGTCAAAATTCTCCTCTCTCTTCTAAACAGGGAAAAGCTTCCCTGAAAGGACTGGTGATAAATTTTCAATAAATCTGCTGGGTGGCGGGAAATGAGAGACGAGTTTTTTAAATGATTAATGAAGCTGAGTGAAATGATATTTTCATTGCTGTCCACTTTCCATAATTTTTCTCTTTTAAATTCCCTTTAGTGTCTTTTCAAGGAAATAGAAGAAAGGAGCCAGTGTCCTTTGGGAGTTGCCTCCAAGATAGTGAGCACAGCACAGGACTATATATACACTTGTGTCTGTTCATGTGTGTAAGCAGCTTCACTTGGGAGCAACTGATAACTCCATTTATAAGTGTGCCTGTGGGCCGGGCGCGGTGGCTCACGCCTGTAATCCCAGCACTTTGGGAGGCCGAGGCGGGTGGATCACAAGGTCAAGAGATCGAGACCATCCTGGTCAACATGGTGAAACCCCTTCTCTACTAAAAAAAAAACTACAAAAAATTAGCTGGGCATGGTGGCGCGTGCCTGTAATCCCAGCTACTCAGGAGGCTGAGGCAGGAGAATTGCCTGAACCCAGGAGACGGAGGTTGTGGTAAGCCGAGATCACGCCATTGCACTCCAGCCTGGGTAACAAGAGCGAAACTCCATCTCAAAAAAAAAAAAAAAAAAAGTGTGCTTGCACTTATAAACAGAATTACTGTTTCTATATACATATCCACAGAGAAGGAAACATTTTATATAAGTACATTTTTAAGATGTTTCCTTCATTAAGAACTCTTATAAAATATTTCTTACATAGTTGTAGTCAGTGCTACAGCCTTATTTTTTATCTGCCCTGTATGTACATGCAAAGGGTGGGATGTGGCTAACTGTGTATGTGTGCCTGTGTGTGTGTTGAATGTGCGTTGAGCACCTGCTCTGGGTTTGTGCTATTTACTTTCCAAGCATTGTTTTTTTTTAAAAAATATTCTCAAAAATTCTTGAAACAACTACTGTAACATTCATTTGCAAAAAGACAATTGATCTCAGAGAGGTTGAGTAACTAGCCTGAATTACAATGAATGTGTGGTCTTTCAAGAAACACCTGGCCTCTCTGGTTTTATCTCCTCTTCTGTCCAAGGAGCATCCAGGCAACAATCCTTGACAATGATGAATGCTACAACTCCTTTAGAAAATACCTATTTGGTCAGGCATGGTGGCTTACACCTATAACCCCAGCACTTTGAGAGGCTAAGGCAGGAGGATTGCTTAGTTTAAGCCCAGGAGTTCATGACCAGCTTGGACAACATAGCAAGACTCTGTCTCTACTACAAATTAAAAAAAAAAAAAAATTAGCTTGGCATGGTAGTTCACACCTGTAGGCCTACCTACTAAGAGGCTGAGATAGGAGGATCCCTTGCGCCCAGGAGTTCAAGGCTGGAGTAAGCTATGATTGGGCTGCTGTACTGTAGCCTGGGTGACAGATCAGGACTGTCTCTAAAAAGAAAAGAAAGGAAATGCTGAATTCATTCTATGCGTCACAGTCATTGACTAAATTATCAACCTCATAGCCACCAGAAGAAAAGATGGACCCGCACTAAGGCCAGATCCTGGATTTGAAATAAAATAAAGGGGAATGTGAACCCACATGTGGAAGCTCAAACAATATGATTTACTAACAAGCACTGATCACACTACTGAAAATACGGTCACTTTAAAGAAACAAGTGATTAAACAGAAGGCACTTAAAGTGGTACTAATGAGCATTTGTATCATGCTTTTCTGCTCAGAGCATTAGCTCCAATTTGATCTTCGGGTTTTAGATCACGAGTACCGTTGACAAACACACACACAGGTGCACATTTGGGGCTACATTTTAAACTAGTCCTCTTTGGTATTTTGTTCTCGCTTTCATGACTACTTTAAAACACTTGATTGTCGTATGTAGCCTGATTCTTTCCCCCCTTGTTAATTATGTTCTTATCTTTTTCCTCTTTGTTCTTTTTCTCTCCTCCTTTTGTGCTAATTTTTATGACTCTTGTTTTCTCTCTCACTTTGAGTTTTTCTTTTCCATCCTTGCTGTACTCACTTCCTGTGTTCTTCCTACTTTCTAAACATCCTTCTCATTTCCCTTGTCTCCAAAGCACTAACTGGGGATGGATAGAATTAGATCAGGATTTTCTGTGGGAAACCCACTCGATTGTGTTGCCCTGGGATAGAGAAAGGCCCAGGAGGTCAAAAGGGCTGAATGTTCCTGTACTGGTCTTACAAACAAATCCTCTGGCTAATGGCTTTTTTTTTTTGGAGACATCTTGGGGCAAGAAAGAAGTGTTGTCTTTATAGGACTACTTTCCTGAATTGAAAGCCAGTTGTGAACATTATTAGAAACTTTGAAGATGAGATGCCTGAGGCAAGTTAACTGGAAAAATGTGTAGGCCTCACCAGAAATAATACTCACTGCTCCTCTGAGTTAGTGGAAGGCTGCAGAGAAATCAGGTTGAGAAAACTTCATAATTCGGCCATAGACATTAGAAAAGAACCTTTTTTAAAATTAATTTTTTATTTCCATAGGTTTTGGGGGAACAGGTAGTACTTGGTTACATAAGGTCTTTAGCGGTGATTCGTGAGATTTTGGTGCACCCATCACCCAAACAATATACACTGAACCCAGTTTGTAGTCTTTTATCCCTCACCCGTTTCCCGCCCCTTCCCTCTGTGTTCCCAAACTCCATTGTCTCCTTCTTATACCTTTGCATCCTCACAGTTTAGCTCCCTCTTATGAGTGAGAACATATTATGTTTCCTTTTCCATTCCTGAGTTACCTCACATAGAATAATAGTCCTCAGTCTCATCCAGGTTGCTGCAAATGCCATTGATTCATTCCTGGAAAATAATCTTGCTCAGAGAGACTTTCCACTATACTCAAGAGACCCAAACTCCTCTCTTTTGGTCAGAAAAGGACTCTTCTCCTGCATGTGCATCCTGATTCACCAACTGGGTAGTGTATCAGTTTCCTAGGATTGCCACCACAACAAACATACTGAATGGCTTAGACAACACATATTTAAAGTACCAATCCTGGAGACTAAAAGTCCAAGACCTAGTTGTCTGCATGGTTGTTTCTTCTGAGGCTGGTCTCCTTGGCTTGTAGAAGACCATCTTCCTGTGTCTTCACATGGCTTTCCCTCTGTAATGTATATATCTGTGTCCTAATTCCTTCTTTTATAATGACACCAGTCATATTGGATTAAGGCCTATGCTAATGACCTTGTTTTAGCTTAATTACATCTTAAAGACTCTATTTCCAAATGCAGCCACATTGTCAAGTATTGGGGTAAGGTTTCAGCATATGAATTTTGGGAGCACAGAATCAGCCCGTAACATGTAGTGAATAGAACATGTATGCAAATATAGCAGCCTCTAGTTAATGGTGATGACAGAATCTCTCCTGTTGTGGAATCTGGAGAATCTGAGAAGCATTAGCTTGGAAAATATTAAAATTGTGATGGAGGAAACACATACCTGGATTCTTTGCTTTAATGCAACAGATTGCCTCAGAGGCTCTGTTACTGATAGAAAGCTATTCCTGCAATAGAAAGCCCTTGGTCTCCATTGTGACCAGCAATGAGAATCCTACCAAGGGTGTGCTGACTTTCATGTTAAGCTCTGGCCTAGACAGACCTGCCCTCTGAACATCTGTATCAGGGCCATAGACTTATTTTCTTCATGAAAAAGCCCTGGAATCAATTCTATCATGAGAGGATTTGAAATCTATTTTCACCTGCTTTTGGGAAAGTAGAAAGATGAGGATAAGATGATAGAATTTTGAAAGCACACAGAGACCTTGGAAATTATCTGTATCTGTGTTTCCTGGGCTTTTTGCATTTTGCCACCAATTTTTAAGAGGTGCGGCCCTCAGGGCTCCCAATTTTTGCTTTGTCAAATATAGATAGACATCAATGAATGTAAATAACATATTAACAACAAAAATTTAGAAGGATATAATCCAGACCATAACCAGATATTTAAATGGAATAGTTTGTCCCAACAAGCAGGCAAACAAATGCAAACAAGACAACAACTCTCTTCACTTAAACATCTTGCCTTATTCTGACAAGAACTTCAGTGTGGATCAGGAGCCATCTGCCAGCTCATGTTTGAAACCCTCACTGTTCTAGACCAGTGATGTTCAAACTTGAGAAAGTTCAGACTCTCTACAATCTCAATTTGAGAAACATTAAAATCAAAGTTACATGCTTAACTTTGAATTTTACCTTGGTGCCAACATACTCGTAGCAATATTGACTTTTCTCTTTTTTTTCAAATGAGAAAGCTCAATGGAGAGAGGTCGTAGGAATTAAAAAGCATGATTGGGCTGCAATAGAGCAAAAATCACAAAAGATGCCTGTTTCCTCCCATCATGTTTTTCAACGTAAGATTTGAACATTTCTACAGATAAGCTAACATAAGGACAGCCGTTCATAAAAGATGGGTGTTGGGGTGCTCGGGAAACAAAGCAATGACTGATGAAATAATAAAGGCCACATCCTTCCGCTCTACTGTCTTTTCCTGCTCCAATTCTTAATCCCTTCTGCATCAGAATCACCCAGAGGACATGTTAAAACCAGATTGTTTGGCCAAAGTATATCCAAAGTTTCTGATTCTACAGGTCAGGGTAGGGCCCAGTATTTCACATTGCTAATGATTTCCCAGGTGGTGGTATTGCTGCTGGCTGGAGGGCAACACGTTGAGAACTCTTGCTCCAACACAGTCTGAGAAGTGGAGCATCTTGACCATCCAGTACTGGGAGGCAGGAAAGAGCAAATGGGGAGCTAGAAAATGCAATGGAGGAAGGACAGAATGCAGACCAAGAAGCAGCTCCAAGAGAGCGTGGAGAGATCCAGGGATTTGGGGATATGAGCAGATTACTTCTACACAATACTTCTTAAAATAGTTGCTCCCTGCATTATGCTGGATGCTTTGAAAACAGACATTCATTACAACTTTAAAAGTCAAATGACTGCAAAAAAAAAAAATTCTTAATTTGAAAGCACAGAGCCCAGGCACTTTAAAATTTGGTTGAGTACGCATGATTTTCCATCACCAGCTGTTAGGAGGATAATCAAGGATTAAATTTTCATTTAATCATTTTTAGATACGAATATACTTCTCTCTCCTTCACCCCCAACCCAAGCCGTTTGAAAGATGGAACTGAACTTCTGGCTCCAAGTCTTCAGAGAACAAATAGATTGACTTTAGTTTTGTAAACTCATTAAAGTGATTTAAGAAATGTTTAATTCCTATTTTCTAAATTAAATTTTATGGTAAATAATAGTTTGTTTTGTTTTTACTGTAGAGTTCTTATGTTCCTGAGTGGGTGAGGAGATTGTATTCTATGTCTAGAAAGAAATCTGGGCAAATTATGTCTTATTTGAATCCAAGGCTTTTATTAGAGATTGGTGGAAGTGGACATGAAGGGGGCATGAGGAGGTTTCATAGCAGAACTAAAGAACCACATGCTAGAAGGGGCCCTGGGGTCATCCAGGACCATAGCTTTACTTTACAGATAGGAATTCCCAGGTCCTGGGACGATCCCTGTGCCAAGCATCACACAGCCAGGCAGTGCCCATCCTGGGGCTGTCAACCAGCTTGTCTCATTCACAGTCTGAATGCTCTTGCCAGCTGGCTGTGTGCCTCTCAAAGAACCAATAGAGCTCCATTTCTATTAACTGGGTAAATTGTCATGTCCTGTCTTTGGTTTTGACTCCAAGTCCTGGCACCCTGGGGAGAGACCCAGGAACCTAGAGGAGCTTGAAAGCAGCCTGAAGACAAGCGCTGGGTACATGTCAGTCACTAGGCATCTTCGGCCCAGAGCAAGTGAGCTAATGTATTGGAGGCCACACACATATTTCCATTCATATGACTGAGATGCTGAAAATTTGGAAAGGGGTCCTCAGGGGAGGCAGAGAGAAGTGCAAATACAAACCATCCAAAGCACAATTTAGTGAAGATTTTGCTTCCATAGACTGTGAAATGACCTCAATTTTCATGCTTTGAAGGCCTGCAGGCAGTTGACTGGATTTTGCTTTTTCTCTGGGAAGAATCCACACTCCCTCATCTCTATGTTTGAGGAGAGAAATCCTCTATTTGAATCTTCTTTATTTCAGCAATCTTGGTGGAAATAAGAAGTCACGGAGGAGTCGGGTGGGGGGACCCTAAGCCATCCTCTGGGGCCTGGGTTTCTGTGTGCAGCAGCTTGGAGTGGGCCACATTCTTTCTGCCCCCCACCGCTGCCCCAAGGAGGCCAGTGATACTGGCAGGCTCAAGCCAGGCTTTGCCAAACCAGAGGGAAGGACTTCCCACCCCTTCCCTGGGGCAGTCCTGGGCAGCCGCCCACATTTACTCCGATTGATTCCAGCTGCACAGTCCCTGGCTGGCCTGGCCTTCTGTATTAGTAATGCTGTGTGAAGAGAAAAGAGTACCAGCACGCTCACTCCCCAACCCATCCCCTGAACCTCCACATGGCCATCTTGCCAGTTCTCTCACCATACTCACGTCCATTTCCTACTTCTTGCTTTCTCTCTCTTCTTTTCCCATTCCCTCTCTCCACTTTCCGTCCTCCCATTCCTCTCAAACACACCGTGCTACCCTTCCTCCTCCTCTCTGCATCTTTTCTGGCTCTGCCTTTATATCTAGCCAAGCTTTCTCCCTTTCCCGGGGGCCGTTCTCATACCCCCATGTTTTCTCTTCCCACTGCTGGCTCTCATCACCTCTAGCGTCACACCAGAGTTAAGCCATCCTCATTGCTCCTTTTAAATAGAGAGATCTTGATTTTGCACAGCTGCAAGCAGGATTGAGCAAGACGGTTCTTTACAACATGGTCTTTTGCGGCCAGAAAGAGAGAGCACGTTTGTGTGTGTGTAGCAGCTTTGTCCGGAGCTCCACTGTCCAGCATCCAAGAGCAGATCCTTAATTTGCTGGAGAATCATGGGTAAATACACAATTTGCTTTAAAAGACCCTTGACTGAAATCTTTGGAGAACTCTACCTCTGGCTGTGGTTTCAGAAAGCAACTGCCTGTCATCTCAAGATGTTAGAGTCAACAGCAGGTCTGCTCAGGACCACATGTTTATTTTCCACAGTGGCATGTGCTAGGTCACGTGGTGTCCATTTAATTTCCATGACTGACATTCCACAGATCTGAGATTTCATTCCTCTGGGATTATTTCAAATACTTGTGGTTTTAACTAGCAGGGGGAAAAATATAAAATGTGTGTGTGTGTGTGTGTGTGTGTGTGTGTGTGTGTGTGTGTGTGTATTTAAAAAGGAAATGCATAAGCCACCAGCCCCAGTACCTCCTTCAATGGTGTTCTTGGCAGAGTTTTGTGGGCAGCTCCTCCGCCCTTTACCTCTCAGAAACCTCCAGGCAGAGGGATCCCAGAGAGCATAGACAGGCCCAGATGAATGGCTTTCTAGAGATCTTAAAAGACTAAGCCTTTTGAATTGACTTCAGCCTTTCATAATTGGGGCAGTCATTGTACTTTTGATTCCTGACACTCCCTTTGTCTCTCCCACTGACGAGCCAGGTTATGGGGCTCAGCGTTCTGGAGGTGCCGGAACAAATGTCCACCCCTATCCCCAGGATCCTTGATTTTTCCTGGTGAAGAGACTGGTGATACCTTTTATCTAAAATTCCCTATTTCGATCTCAGACAGTAGAGGAGAGAGGAAAAAACTCTTATTGAAGTATTTGGATTGTTAATACCTCATAGGGAGTTAAAGGAACAGAAATAGTCAGATAAACTATGGCTGCTGCAGAAGAATGAGGTATCAGTGACAGGGCCAGCTCAAAGCTAAATTGTGGAGAAAAAATAGATGACATCATCTTCATTTCAATCACCTCCTTCCACCTCTTTGAATTCCACTGGAACTTGGCACTTTTTTTAATGACAGTCCAACTGCCTGGAGAACTCCTTATAGGTGTGTGGCGCAGGGCTGAGAATGGCCTTCTGTGTTCTGTCTGTCCTTCTCTGTGATTCTTGCAAATCCAATGTCTCATTCCCACTTAGCCAATCCTGTGCAAAGAAACAGATAAACTCAATTTAGTGAAGGCATCTTAACTGATCATACTTTTATGTTGCTCCTCTGATGTGATAATTTGATTTTAACAAAGGCCTAGTTACCAATGATAGAATTATCATTAAGACAGATTCCGTAAGGTTCAAATCCAGCAGGAAACTTGCTACCACCAGTTGATGACCAAAATCAGAACCTAGTTGCTTGCAGTTTTTAATTCTCAAAACTTTCTTGACTGTATTGTGAAAGAAAGGGAAGAGGATTAAATCTCAGGAATAACCTAAATTAGGATTTTGGAACATCAGCTCTGGAAAAACTTTGAAAGTTCAGCCAGATATCATAAGTACCCTGTGAGGTCCCTTAGTCTGGTGCTCATGGTCAAGCCCATGAAATGGCCGTATGTTATCCCTTTACATGGACTGCTGTTGCTCTTGTCTGCAGATTGCATGTTCTAATGTGGAAAAATTATATTTGTTTACATTTCTACAGACGATGTCAGACATTAACTTTTGTCAGCTCCTGCTACCTTTATCTTCTTTCCTGACACCTTCACCATGTTCTTCTGAAGGACCCATCTGAAAGAGGGACAGTGTAGTCAAGGCGGGCTTGTGCAGAAGCTGGTAGTGGTGACACATTTTCAAACAGATGTAAGTGAACATTAATCTGATCACTGCATTTGGATCCATTGACTCTATTTTATAAGGTGGCGATTGGATTTTGGAAATTAATTGTTCCAGGGATGATTGATAACTGAGGAATTTTTTATAAATCCACACATAATAGGATAAATTGTCTAGGGAGTTATTCCTAACTTTTGTGTTTACCAGTGCATGAGACACATGTACTCCTAATGCATTCCTTATGGCCCTGCTGCCATTATTGAGACTTTGTATGTCAATTCTTAAGCTCCTTCTCTCCTTTTCATAAAATTGCAGGTCAGCTATTGGCCAGAGAGAAAAAAAAGTCAATATTTCAATCAAATTTAGTCTATCAAATAATGAGCTAATAATTAAAATATGTAAGTCATGAGTTTTTAAAAATTACAATATGGTTAATATTATTTCCCATTGATTTCCTTATTTCTGTGTAGCTCTTGGTGAGCTGAAAATATCAATATATTGGAGATTTCCTGTTTCTTCAACCTCATAAAGGAGGTTCCTCAAAGTGTGCCCTGTGGAGAAGGTATAAGATCACTGGGCCCCAAAGTCAAGTATGTTTATATTACCTAGGTTGGCTAAAGTTCAATCTCTTTCTTTAAGATCTTCTCCCAAGTTTCAATACTAATGTGCATTCTTTTTCATGTAAAAGGTGGCAATTATCACATATTTGAACCACAGAACACCCTCTGGGAGGACTATCAGGCACAGCTAGTGCTCACAGGGACTATTGCTCCCAAATGAAGCACTTTGGAAAACACTTTGTAATACTACTGGTAATAATAGCAACAACAATAGTCACAAGTGTCATGAGCATTACTGAGCACATAGTATATGCCAAGCACTGTTCTTCATACATGGGATGTCCTAGACACCTGTTTCATCCTCACTACCATCCTTTGAGAGAGCTACAGTTATAACCCCCAAGGCATAAAGGGTACAAATCACTTTTCCAAGGTCACGAGCGCTTACTTTAGGAGATGTGACTTGAACGAGGCTGACTGACACTAAAGCCTGAGCTCTGCACTGTCACATTGGGCTCCCATCCCTTCTTTCTGTGATGGCAGGTTGACAATGGTAGGACACAGTGCCCAGGAGCCTACCATAAGCCCAGAAGTACCCACATCCCATGGACTGCCCCTGTTACAATAGTAAAAACATTACCAGTATCAAGAGTAGGAACATTTGGTCAGTATCATTATTTCCTATCTGAAGTATTTAAACCTCTGAAATCTTAGAACCATTGCAGAATACGCTATAGCCCACAGTTTAGCACCTGATTTTATCTGCTCTCTTATGAATCCAGCTGTATAAGTCTGAACAAGTTAGGTACTTTTGTCTTCTCAACTAAACTTTAAGCTTCTTGTGGGCAAGAACCCTTCCTAATGCTTCATCCTGACTTAGTAAGTGCAAATTATATTAATCAACTGATTTGGATGATCATTTTAAAAACCATCCTTTTATTCTTTGCTATAGAATCTTATTTTCTGGTAACATCATCCACAGGGTCCTTTGCAGTTTGCAAATGCTTGACCAACACTGAGATCACTGATCCCCATGGCAGCTCAGTGAAGGAGATGTAAGTTGACTCTCCCCTTTCCAAAGTTGACCAGGGAGGTGACTTGATCAGACTCCTAGAGAGTTTGAAGGTGGAAGAACTGAAACTCATTGTAGGCTTTTCAAATCCAGACCTTCCACTTCTCTCAGCTGCCTTGGTCTCTGCATCACCTCAGAGAAGTGCAACATCTCATCCAGGAACTACCGTTCTCCTTGGAGTGTGTGCCTCCACATGCTGACATTGCCACACTCACATGTGGGTTCCCCCGAGCTCTGTAGCTACACTGCCTTCTATCCCCCACAGTTGCTCTTCAAATAGAAGGCAGTTGTTTTTTCCCTGCAAGACATCAGGCAGAAAAGAAAAGAAGAGAAAGGAAAAGAAAAAAAGAAAAGGAGAGAAAAGAAAGGGAGGTTTGGAAGATTTCAGTGCTACAGTTTTATCTCCTCTCTCCTCATCAGAAAGTAGAGAAGGACCCCTATCACTCTGGAATATTTAGGGTTAGAACAGCAATCAAATTCCTTGGAATCATGAATTATGTCCACTGTAGAGTCATGGAGGCCAAACAGGAAGAAATAATATGTTGGAAAGAAATAGCAACCCAGGGCAGAAGAGAGAAACAGCATTGGGATAATTCTCCATGGCACAATTGCTGCTGTCTGCAAAGATGAAAGGAGTTTGCAGTGTGCCCCAAGTCTATGGGACTTCATTTCATACAAATGGCACCAAAAGAATGATCATAAAGATGGCTACAGACTCAGGATTCCGAGTTGGCTGCCTTATGTTTGGCCAGAAATAATTTAGAAGTATGTAAGTGGGAGAAATACAAAGAGAAGGAAAGGTGAAGAGTAAAGATAAGAGTGATTCATAAGTTGAATGGTGATTTTTTTTTTCCTCTATGAAATAATGCATTCAGTGGAAACAAGTATGTCTTCAAGGGCACTGAAGGAGCACGGCACTTTAGATATTGAAAATGGAACCAATAAGAATGTGGCCAAAATGCTTAACAAGAAGGGTGATGTTTTATTTCTTTAGTAACTGCCAAGCATTGAAGCTCGAGTTGACTCTGAAGGCATATTCTTGGAAGAAAAGAACATAAAGGAATAATTTGGGGAAGTAGATGGCAGGATTTTTTTTTTGTCCCCCAGACAAGAGAAAAAAAGAAGGGTAGAGCACAAAGCTTGAGCACTGGGCTCACTATTTCTGAATTTGTCTTCTCAGATATGGTGCTGATGGAATGATTTTTTGGTAGAGGGGGTTGGGAGGGAGGGATGTCAAAAAGCTAACTACTCCCTTAGCAAACTCTGACAGACTTCAGGAAAGACCAGTTCTAACACTAGAGAATTTTCTGTTTTCCAAGTTTGTTTAAATGTATACAGATGACAAGTTGACCTGAAGCAAAATTGTGAAATAGGAGAACATTGGCTTTAGGCCTTATGAATCAATCCATCATCAGATATTTATTGAGCAGCTCCTCTGCACAATGCATTGTACTAGGGAAGGCAAAAGCACAAATCACATGTGTCCCTGCCCTCGAACAGCCTATAGTTTAGGAGGGCGCAAGTTGCCATACTCAGAAGAATTAAATAGTATTCTGAGTCACATCATGAAGCAACAGGAAGAAAGATCTTACTGAGATCTTTAAATGTTAAGAGCAAACACTCTGTAGCATTTACCATGTTGCAAGTCAACTTTCAAAAGCATTACACCCATTTACCCTGCTACTGGATACATACTCAAAGGAAAATAAATTGTTCTGCCAAAAGACACGTGCACTCATATGTTCATCACAGTGCTATTCACGGTAGAAAAACATGGAATCAACCTAGGTGCTCATCAAGAGTGGGCTGGATAAAGAGAATGTGGTACATATATACCATGGCATACTACTCAGCCATAAAAAATAATGAGATCATGTCCTTTGTAGCAACATGGACACAGCTGGAGGTCATTATTGTAAGCGAATTAACAGTGCAGAAACAGTCAAATGCCACATATTTTTACTTATTAATGGAAGCTAAACATTGAATATACATGGATATCATGATAGGAACTGCAGATACTGAGACTACTAGAGTGGGGAGGAATGGAGTGGGGAAAGGGCTAAAAACCTATACATTAAGAACTATGCTCACTACCAAGGTAACAGGACCATCCATACCCCAAATCTCAATATCATGCAATATACCCATGTAACAAACCTACACATGTACCCTCTGAATCCAAAATAAATGGTGTTTGGAAAACTGGCTAGCCATGTGCAGAAAGCAGAAACTGGGTTCCTTCCTGACACCTTACACTAAAATAAATTTTTAAAATAAAAAACAAAACAAAACAAAACAAAACATAAAAGCTTTGCAAATTGCATCCTTTTATCTTTAAGACAAGCTTATGAGATCAATTCTGTCACTACTCTCATTTTATAGATTAGGAAATTATGGCACAGCTGGTCAGCACTGGAATAGGATGGGAACCAGCAACATAAACCTAGAGCATGGGCCCTCCACCACTGTACCTGCTGCTCCTTGTGGAACACTGTGATGTCCAGCAGAATGGGCGTTAGCCAGGCAGTTATACTGCCGGGATTCTGAGGAAGGGGATGCCACAGTCATCTTTCTGGTCTGGACCCTCATTGTATGCTTTGAGCCTAGCCATAGCCCTGTGAGGCAGAGAGGATAGGCCCCTATTAATTAATGCCCATGTCTACAATAAAAAGGATTGAACAACTTTCTCAAGGTCATACCACCCCAAACAACAATTTGGTGAAGCCAGAACGTGAAAGAAATAAGATCCTTCATGGTAGTCAGAGCTTCCCACCCTGGATGGGGGACCATCTCACCTTGTAGTTTAGGCACAAGGCCCTGTCCTGAGTACCAGCTGCCTTACTGTCATTTCTTCATTTGACAACATTAATTGAGCACACTGCTGCAGTCTGAACATCAAGGACAGGTTGGAACAAAGGCATCTCCAGCATGAGCCAGAAACAGTGGCCAACCCCTGAGACCTTGATCATGGCTTTGCACTTTGTATTTTGAAAGAATTTTGGACTTACAGAAAAGCTGCAAAAGTAGTACAGAAAATTCCCATGCACACTTCCTCCAGCTTCTCCTTCTGTTAACATCCTGCATACACATAACACAAATATTAAAACTGAGAGATTAATGTTGGTACAATATTATTCACAAATTCAAGACTTTATTTGGATTTCACTAGTTTTTCCAGATTTTGTTTTCTGTTTCAGAATCTAATCCAGGGACCTACATCACATTTATTTCTCCTCGTTTCTAAATCTCCTCCAATCTGTGTCAAGTCCTCAGTCTTTCCTCATCTTTCATGACCTTGAAACTTTTGAAAAGTCTTGGTCATAAATGTTGTAGAATGTTCCTCAGTGTAAGGAAGCTGATGTTTTCTCATGATTAGATTGTAGTTATGCATTTTTAGTAAGAAATTTACCAAGGAAGTGATGTGTTCTTCTCAGGGTATAAGATCAGGGGTTAGTGATATTGATGGAGCCATTGATAGAGGCAATATTAACCTGTATTACTTGGTTAATTGGTGCTTGCTGAGCTGCTCCACTGTAAAGTTTCTTTTCTTCTCATTTGAAATTTGTGGACATCTTAGAGGAGATATTTGAGATTATACAAATATCCTGTTTCTCTGAAAACTTTCTTCTACTGATTTTAGCACACATTGATGGATCTTGCCTGTACCAATTCTAACATAGAGTTTCAATGATGATTCTTATTTCCCCCATTTTCCTGCATTTACTGAGTAAAATTCTTCTGGAAGGAAGAGCTGTTTCTTCTGCTATGTTTTTTAAGTGTTTATATGTATGAGTTTTAACTCATAGATATTTGTTGTATTCTGCTGTTGCAGATTGGGTCATTGAGAACTCCTTCAGGTTGGTTTTTCTGCCCTTTTGATCTGCCCACATTCTGTTTAAAGCACTTTCTTGTTTTGGCCACTGCAATATGTTCCAGGGTCATTTTGTATTTTCCTTACCACAACTTTGGAATCAACCAGGTCTCCAAGGACTCCAATAAACCAGGATTCCTTTTATTGGGGAATGGTATTTAGAAATCAAGATTTGAGCACTAGGTATACCCATTGCTACTGTTGTGACATTACTCCTAAGTCCCCTCAGCAGACAGAACTTAAAAATATACTAATGGCAGGCCAGTTGCAATGGTTCACACCTGTAATCCGAGCACTTTGGGAGGTCGAGGTGGGTGGATCACGAGGTCAGAAGTTTGAGACCAGCCTGGCCAACATGGTGAAACCCCTTCTCTACTACAAATACAAATAATTAGCTGAGTGTGGTGGCACATGCCAGAAATCCCAGCCATTCTGGAGGCTGAGGCAGGAAAATCACTTGAACCCAGGAGACAGAGCTTGTGGTGAGCAGAGATCATACCACTGCACTCCAGCCTGGGTGACAGAGCAAGACTCTGTCTCAAAAAAAATACACACGCGCACGCGCACACACACACACACACACACACTGTTATTAACACAAGCATACACATTGTCTTTTCTATCTATCCATCTATCTCTGTTAGAATCAAAGATGTCATTATGAACAGTATGAATCAAAGATGTCAGTGGATCTGCCTATTTATCATCTAACTATCAGATATGAGTTCATACACCTCTGATTCTAATCCAACACCATAGAGTTCATTATAGCCCTCCTATTTTCCTTTTTATTTTTATTGCTCATTATTTGTTTGTTTATTCATTTTCCAACAGTGAAAAGGAACTGTTTTTTTCCAACAGGATATTAGGTTTTTCCAACCCACTCTCATTTTTGACAATATATTACTTCTTCAAAGCTATAATGCACATCAAGTGTTTTCAGAATTATTAACCCATACTCTTTTGAGAAATAAATTTACTAACTATATCACAGTATTTTTATGTAGTTTGTTTTATCTTTAGCCTTAGTGTATTAGTCCATTTTTACACTGCTGATAAAGACATATCTGAGACTGGGTAATTAATAAAGAAAAAAAGGTTTAATGGACTCACAGTTCCACGTGGCTGGGGAGGCCTCACAATCACAGCAGAAGGCAAAGGAGGAGCAAAGCCATGTCTTACGTGGTGGCAGACCAGGGAGAATGAGAGACAACTGGAAGGAGAAATCCCTTATAAAATCATCAGATCTGGTGAGACTTCCTCACTACCATGAGAACAACATGGAAGAAACCGCCTCCATGATTCAATTATCTCCCACTGGGTCCCTCCCACAACACATGGGAGTTATGGGAGCTACAATTCAAGATGAGATTTGGGTGGGTGCACAGCCAAACCATTTCATTTAGTATATAGTTTTTGAGTTTTGAAAAACAGAAACTTACCTTGAGCTTTCAGCTGTACTGTTCTGTGTGCAGGCCATATCTCTCCTGGAGGGTTATGTTCTAGAGATTTAACTTTAAGAGGGATGCCAGCAAAGTAGAGAATATCCAGAAAAGTTGGTTAAGATGTTGAGGATTGCAGAAACATGACATTCATTAACCTAGTGAATGGGCCATGTCTTTGCATGCACCTGTACATTCATTCAGTTATTACTGGTCCACTTGCCCATTAAAAATCATTTATTTGGAGTATACAACATACCATATTCTATTAGCAACAAAATAGTGGGATTGTTGAGGTTGAATCAGAAGTCAGAGTAAGGCTATGACAATTTTCTTCAAGCTTATGAAGAGTTCTTATGTAGAATAAGAATTAGACTTTTTCCTAACTATCTTGACAGAGCCAAACCAAGACCAATAGGCAGAATTTAGAGTGAAACAAATTTCAGTAAGAAAGAATAATTCTTAGAATGGTCCAACAATTAAATGGGCCATCTTGTAGAGTTATGATCCTAATTGCTGGAAAACTCTTTCAGAGGCTAGGAAGTTGAAACAAGGTCCTCTAAAGTCCTTTTGAAGTATGATTTTCTGTGGTTCTATAAAATAGCCCTTAACAGCCAGATAGTCATTTGCCTTGTGTCTGCCTACTCTTCCATTTTATTTGGACTCTTGTCAAAGGCACTTGGCTTGGTAGAGCACCATCAGAGACTGCAAGATCTGCACATGAGTAACAGATTCTGTCATATTAAGAGGGAAAGGAAATTATAACCTTGACATTTAAAATTGGATGCTTTAGCCATCATTTAGTATTCACTGGGTGAGTAAAAGGTGCTTCAGGAATAAGCCTGAGGAGAGGGTAAGCCCATCATTTGGGAAAGAAGTGTAGACAAAGGTAATTTATAAGCAGAGAGTAAGTTGCCCTATTGTCACTGTTTTTGGAATTGATTTCAGGTCAACAAATATTTGTCAAGCACTTAATATGTGCTGGGTATCATTTTAGGTGCTGGGGACAGAACAGTTATCAAAATAAACAAAAATCCTTGCTGTCAGGGAGTTTATCTCCTACTAGGCAGGGACAGATAGTAGTTAATTAAAGTATATGGTAGGTTAAAGTTGATGCATAAAACTGATTTAAATAAAAAACAGGGTAAGGAGAATAAGGCTCACCAGGATAGGAGGTTGTCATGTAAAATGAAGAGGAGTTCAGAATGAATCTCCTGAAAGTGACCTTGACTTGAGACCTACAGGAGGAATGGAGGTCATTGCTCCCTGTTGTGCATCCTGAGGAGCATGCTGGAGCTGTTTTTCCCGGTTCCCTCCTGCTTCAGTGAGGCCATGCCATCAGTTCTGACTAATGAGCTAAGAGAGGAAGTGAGCACATTCCACCCGTGCTGCTACATTTAATGGCATTGAATTTGGGATTTCAGTTCTGACAAGTTCATCTCCTACTCACATTGCACTAAAGCCTGAGAAGGGGAGCAGGTCTTGGCCATGCCATGAGAACTACAGGATTCTTTAAAGTCATTGGTTTTATTCACAAATCTGGGATCCTTTCATTTATATTCTCTAAACTTCTGTCCAGACAGGTTAACTACACTTTACTGAGTGTAGGGCCTCTTCATAATTATTAACCAAGGCTTTATTTTCATGGAGAATTCAACATAAATTCCCTTCAAAAAAAATTGGGTTGTTCATACTTTCCTTATAGCATTTTATGGCCATAATGCTGTGAAAAATCTCACTACAAACTAGAGATTATCAGTTGGTATATGGCAGTTCTCTGGGTGCCAATTACCCTTGGCAGATACATTGCCAAATCATACATACAACTACATGTACAATAACTTCATTACAACTGAGGACCCATAATTGTATAGCTGTAGCTTTCAGGCCAAATGCTGAGCTGAATTACATGAATACTTCTGCTATAGGTCAGGGGTAGGAATATAGTGTGTGATCAAACAACTACGAGCCTAACATCCAGTATTATTTTATAACATGTGAGAACATTGCTTTTGAGCTAATAAGAGAATGGAGTCAGGGCAGTGACACATCTTCTCAACATGGCATAGATCTGAAGGGAAACCAGGCAAACCATGTGTACACTAATATGGAAGCTTTTATGGGCACTGGGAGATTCTCCAATGGTACTAGTAATGCATTCTCCTCATGGACAGCTTGTTTAGGAACATTTAGTATTCAGTGTTCTGCCAAAAATTCCAATTATTCAATTCAAAAAATTCTGACAACACATCCGGACACAGGCCTGTCCAGTAGAGTCACGTTTTCTAACATGAGGTAGGTGGGAATGTCAGAGCAGATCTGCTGAGATCTGATCCCCTCATGCAGCTGACAGGAGATGGAGCTGAGAGCCTGACTTTGCCCCCCAGTTCAGACCTCCGGGTCTCCATGCTCTGCTGCCTCATTTGACAACTCCACAACATTTTCTGAACTCCTACCCTCTGGTTCTCCTCACCACACTCTTCCTAGCCCTAGCATCATGATGATACCATACTTTATTCCACTGTTCTATCAACCATTTTTAGGCTCATGGCATCCATTGTTGGGGAAACTGGGTACTTTTAGGAGTGTGAGCTAGCCTGCACATCAACGGGCAGTCATTTTCAAACATTGATTATTATCAGTAATGCAGTCACTATTGAATGTCTACTGTGAGCCAGTGCCAGGCACTGAGATATAATCATGAACTGCAAATGTTCAGATGTCACAGAATATCAGATCTCTTGTTTCTAAAGTTCTCTGGATCC